CACAGGAGATGGGGACATTACAGCATACAGCAAAGTTAGAGAAGCAAGACTTTATGGAGAAACTTTGATACCAGAAAAACTAGAGTGTCTCGGTCATGTTCAAAAGAGACTTGGAACAAGACTTCAGAATCTGCGTGCATTAAAAAAAAAAGTTGCATGACAGTAAAACTCTCTCAGGTAAAGGAAGACTTACTAATGCAAGTATTAATTTAATGTAGAATTACTTTGGTATGGCTATTCGTCAGAGTGATAAACTGTACCCTATAAAAAAAGCTGTACTTGCAGTTTTATGGCATTGCTGTGAAGGTGGTGCTGCTATGCACCATCAATTTTGTCCCAGAACCAATACTAGCTGGTGCAAATGGCAAAAGGATAAGATTACAGGCCAATGCACTTATAAAAACACGTTAAACTTACCAATTGCTATTAAAAACCTATTACATCCAATATTTATGTAACTTACTTCTGACAATCTTTTGTCTAATGTTTACACAGCTATACCCAAAATCCTGATGAGTCTTATAACCAAATAATCTGGGAAAAATGCCCCAAAATACATTTTGTTTCAAAAAGGGTTTTAGAGTTGGCTGTTTTCTCAGCAGTTCTATCTTTTAATGGAGGTTACGTTTCACATAAAGAAACATTTCAACAACTTGGATTTCATTGTGGAAAATATTTTCTTCTCGGTGCAATTAAAAAAGACAAAAATCGCATCATTCATACGGAAAGAAAGGAAAAAGAAGTGACAAAATCAAGGAGGAAAAAATTGAGAGGTATAAGATAAAGATTTAGCAAGGATGACTCTTATGTGTCTGGAAATTTTTAAAGATATATGTTGTTAATGTTGTTTTATTTTGTTTTCTTGCGTTTTCTCTGTTAACAGATTATTAAACTTTGAACAAGAATATTTTTTGAACTACTTGGAGATTATGGCTAAATTTTTCACAGGTTGTTTATCAGGTTACTGTGAAGGGATTTGACCAAAAAGAGAATTTATATTTAGCTGTTGTCGAGATATTGACATAGGCAGCACAAATTTTACATAAAAATTAAAAATTATTTTTTAAAGTGCAGCCATTTTGATTCAGTAAAAGTTCTGATGGTGATTCTGGTCAAATACCTCAATCAACATGTTGTTAACCTTTTTGCAAAATTTTAGCCTCAAACTCTTAAAGACTACAGGGCCTACAAAACCCACATTTGTTCATGTTTTTGATTTTAATAAAAATTGCATTTTGTTTTTTATCACTTTAGTCTTATATATGTTATATATGAAAGATACCCTAAACAATTTTGCGTAGTAAAATTAAAGAAGCAATTGTAAAATACTTTATTGACACAGCTGTAAACGATATCAATCAGATGGAACTTGATTTAAAATGGAAGTTTTTAAACAATTAAACTGTGCGCAGTTTTATATTGTATAGTTTTATCGCTCGCTAAGCATCAATCTAATCTAAGTTGACTTGTATTTGTATTTTTATTTAATTTGCAAACAACAGGAAAAAAAATTCAGTCCATCAAATTTTTATGAGTGTTATTCTATCTAATCTGAAACTTTTATTTTCCTTTATTCTTTTATAATTTTCAGTTAGTGTTGCACTATGGAATAGTCTTGCTTAAGTATTTTGTTTTTATTATATATTATATGTATTACATATACTGTTAGATGAGCTCTGTTATATTTTTAGTTATAAATTTTTTTCGAGAACAAGATAATTAAAGCACTAAATTGTTTTATTTGTTAGCATATGCTAATAACTAACTTCTATTTGTTAGCATATGCTAATAACTAACTTTTAGTTGTTAGCTTATGCTAATAACTAACTTTTAGTTGTTAGCATATGTTAATAACTAACTTTTAGTTGTTAGCATATGCTAATAACTAACTTTTAGTTGTTAGCATATGCTAATAACTAACTTTTATTTGTTAGCATATGCTAATAACTAACTTTTATTTGTTAGCATATGCTAATAATTAACTTTTAGTTGTTAGCCTATGCTAATAACTAACTTCTAGTTGTTAGCATATGCTAATAACTAACTTTTAGTTGTTAGCATATGCTAATAACTAACTTTTAGTTGTTAGCATATGTTAATAACTAACTTTTAGTTGTTAGCATATGCTAATAACTAACTTTTCGTTGTTAGCATATGCTAATAACTAACTTTTAGTTGTTAGCATATGCTAATAACTAACTTTTAGTTGTTAGCATATGCTAATAACTAACTTTTAGTTGTTAGCCTATGCTAATAACTAACTTCTAGTTGTTAGCATATGCTAATAACTAACTTTTAGTTGTTAGCATATGCTAATAACTAACTTTTATTTGTTAGCATACGCTAATAACTAACTTTTATTTGTTAGCATATGCTAATAACTAACTTTTAGTTGTTAGCATATGCTAATAACTAACTTTTAGTTGTTAGCCTATGCTAATAACTAACTTTTAGTTGTTAGCATATGCTAATAACTAACTTTTAGTTGTTAGCATATGCTAATAACTAACTTTTAGTTATTAGCGTATGGTAATAACTAACTTTTAGTTATTAGCGTATGGTAATAACTAACTTTTAGTTGTTAGCATATGCTAATAACTAACTTTTAGTTGTTAGCATATGCTAATAACTAACTTTTAGCTGTTAGCTTATGCTATTAACTAACTTTTATTTGTTAGCATATGCTAATAACTAACTTTTATTTGTTAGCATATGCTAATAACTAACTTTTATTTGTTAGCATATGCTAATAACTAACTTTTATTTGTTAGCATATGCTAATAACTAACTTTTATTTGTTAGCATATGCTAATAACTAACTTTTATTTGTTAGCATATGCTAATAACTAACTTTTATTTGTTAGCGTATGTTAATAACTAACTTTTAGTTGTTAGCGTATGTTAATAACTAACTTTTAGTTATTAGCGTATGTTAATAACTAACTTTTAGTTATTAGCGTATGTTAATAACTAACTTTTAGTTGTTAGCGTATGTTAATAACTAACTTTTAGTTATTAGCATATGTTAATAACTAACTTTTAGTTGTTAGCGTATGTTAATAACTAACTTTTAGTTATTAGCATATGTTAATAACTAACTTTTAGTTGTTAGCATATGTTAATAACTAACTTTTAGTTATTAGCGTATGTTAATAACTAACTTTTAGTTGTTAGCGTATGCTAATAACTAACTTTTAGTTGTTAGCGTATGTTAATAACTAACTTTTAGTTGTTAGCGTATGCTAATAACTAACTTTTAGTTGTTAGCATATGTTAATAAATAAAACAATTAAGTACTTAAGTTAATTTCTTCTCGATAAACTTTTTAACTAATAAATTAATACTGCTCATCTCAAAATTATATGAATTGCTAACTTGAAAAAGGGGACATGATATGTGAATTATTGCATGATCCGTAGAGTTGTTTCTCTTGAAGCCGTATTGGTTCATGTAAAGTATATTATTAACAGTCAGATGATGGTATGTTTGGTTAAACAAAATTTGCTTAAAAATTTTTGAAAAAACAGAGATGACAGATATTTGACGATAATTACTGACATTCGATGGTTCACCACCTTTAAATACTAATTTAATCTTGCCAATTTTTTATTGGTCTGGAAAAATTCCTTGATTAATGAAACATTTAAAAACATTGAAAAGAATATACTTTATACCGTCACTTGAAAGTTTACACCTTCTTTCTTACTCATGCATAGCACCGAACCTCGTAATTTTAAAGCAAGCGCTTTAACCACTGCGCAATGATTGCTGGATAACTAATCCAATGGACAAGTTTTCAACGTTTTTTAAAGAAAGTTTTGTTTAAGAAACCAAGGCAAACGCAAAAATATATTTTAAGTATTTGAAATACATAAATAACTTTTATTAGATATTACAAATACATAAATAACGTTTATTATTTATAGAATACTGAGCTCATTAAGCTCATAAAGATTCCTGATAACTTTTTATCAGTTCATTTAAATTCAATAACTAAAAAAAGCCATTAAAAAAAGGCTCTTGAGAAGTTAACACTAAACGACTTAAGAACTCTCATGAAATCAAAATTAAAAAGCTTGATAACTCTCGAGAAAGGGTTAATGATTTTGAATGGTAAGGCTTCCGATTTTTTGACGCAACATATTTTTTATTTTCATTTAAACATATTTGAAGTCTAGAAAACTCTTTCCTTTTAATTAAAAGAATGACTAGCCAAAAATAAACCCTCAGTTGATGTACAATCCACTGCTGCTCAAATTTGAACCATTTGATTAATGTAGACTCTGCTGCGTCTACTATTGATCGATGATACAATCGATGAAAAAATATTGATCTATATCAATCGATGAAAAAATAATAATATAATTATTTAATAAAAAATAATAAAGATATAAATATTATTAAACAACAATAGTGGTTAATACGCACAGAACATATACTTCAAAAACACACAAAATATTAAAAAGAATCAAAACATTCTGATCCAGAATTTGAATCCCGCAATTCCATCTACTTGCGTATGACTCTGCAGTGATGACAGAAATATTAAGATTATATATTTATTATAAATCTGAAGTTACTTGTCCATTTAGTCATTAATTTATGAAGTTTTATATGGAACTATAGGAGCACAAAAAATAGTATTAAATCAAAAAAATTAAAATTATATGTATTGAAATGTATTAATTAGTTAACTAAAAGAAGCTAAGAAAATTTTTTATATATTAGTTTTAAAAAACACAATTTTTTTTAGTTAAAGGTAGATGGAGGAGGAGGAAAGTGAAGGGAGGGGGGGGGGGGGGAGGGGAGGGGGAGGGACGTGACCTAACTTATGGAGGTCCCAAATAGAATGTTGCAAATTTGGTCATATGATTGACGGATTAGTGGCATGTGATTATATTTTAAATATTTTCAACTTTTAACTCGTTTCTTTGTGTCGATTCTGTATTCTTTAAAAAAAGAAAAAAACAACAAACAAAAAATTATTTTAAACTGATAAATTTTTTTATAAATAATTGTTAAAATAATTTTTTTTTAAAGAATGCCTAAGAAATGCAAATATAAACTCTTATAAAATTTTCATTTCGCTAAATAAATTCTGCATTTTTTCCAATAGTTAAAAATGCATCTTTGTGTTTAAAATATTCATTCAATCTCATCGAGCTATACCTATAAAAAAAAAAAAAAATTAATTTAAAAATCATCAACTAACCCAAAGTAAAATAAAAACTTGTTTTAAAAATAAAAGGTAAAACTATAAAACACCTATCATACTGAACGAGTAAAATTACACATAATATAATTAAATAATAATAATTAAATATATAATTAATTAATATAATTATATAATTAATTAATAATATAATTAAATAATAATAATCTTAACTAAAATTATCAAATAGTCATAAGGCTTTTAATTAAAATTATCTACAGTTGTAATCTTAGAAAAAGTTTATTATCTACAGTTGTGATCTTAGAATGAGTTAATTATCTACAGTTGTAATCTTAAAATGAGTTTATTATCTACAGTTGTAATCTTAGAATGAGTTTATTATCTACAGTTGTAATCTTAAAATGAGTTTATTATCTACAGTTGTAATCTTAAAATGAGTTTATTATCTACAATTGTGATCTTAGAATGAGTTTATTATCTACAGTTGTAATCTTAAAATGAGTTTATTATCTACAGTTGTGATCTTAGAATAAGTTTATCATATACAGTTGTAATCTTAAAATGAGTTTATTATCTACAGTTGTAATCTTAGAATGAGTTTATTATCTTCAGTTGTTATCTTAAAATGAGTTTATTATCTACAGTTGTAATCTTAGAATGAGTTTATTATCTACAGTTGTAATTTTAGAGAGAATATATTACACTTCTACAGTCGTACCTTTAGAATGATTTTACAACTCAGTTGTAAAATAAGATTGATGCTAATAACCTAGTTTTTTGTAAAATAAATCATAAGATATGTAACTATGTATAAAATAAATCATTAGATATGTAATTATTCATAAAATAAATTATAAGATATTTAACTATGTTTAACTAAAATTATAAGATATGTAACTATGTTTAACTAAAATCGTTATAGCTAATAAACAAAGTTAGAACATCATACCAAAGAAAATCAAAGTTAATATCTGAGTAATGTGCTTGGATTAATGCCCAAATTCCCCAAAACAAGTGTGACACCTGTAAAAAAATCAAATAAGTGTAAAACTTATAAAATAAAGTGAAATATGTCATCTTGTCACGATGTTATTTAAATTATCACAGATATTGAATAATCCAAGAATACTGATGTCAATAGAGTTCGGATATTGGCTTTTAATTGACAAACAAGGTCACTGCAGACTAAGACCTTGTTTGTTTTACTGGAAAAAGTTATGTGACATTTTTTTTGTTTCTACATGTTTTAAAAACTGTTTTTTTTTCTCTGCACACCAAGGCTTTAAAATTTTCTTTCTATGTTTTATTTTTATGATGAAGATGTACTGACTAAGCATAGATAAAATGATGTATATGTATATGTATATGTATATGTATATGCATATGTATATGTATATGTATATGTATATGTATATATATATATATATATATATATATATATATATATGGCGTTAAAAATGTTAAAAAATCTGAAAATCAGCAAACCTTCGGATTCTTAAAAAGAAAATAATGCTCAACAAACTTCTACTTAGCAGCTAATGTTAAGCTGCTAAAAATAGTTGCAGGCAATTAGTGATTTAGCAGTTTAGTAAGGACGTGGAGAAAAATACTCTTATTTATACTGTGACGGTGAAAAGACAAATCTGGGAGAACTGAGAACTTTCAATAAGTTAAAGTCGCTTTATGGACTTGGCTAAATATTTTGGCTTCGCTAAAAATGGATCTAATGGCTTTGCTAAAAATCGACCTAAGAAATGTTATATGCAAACATTCAAAAATGTTATACATCCATGTCTAGTTAATGTGGTTGGAGATCTATGACTGATCATTATGTAATGATTAATTATGTAATGATTAATTTCAACTATAATCTTTCAATGGGATGGATTATTGTCTTGTTATTGAATAACTTTGTTATTTTTGTAAAAAAAATTAGAATGCCATTATGAGTGTTTGCTGATCAATGTTTCGAATATGTTCATCACATGTTTAAAACTAATTTAAAAATCTTAAAATTTGTGACAGCTTGATCCATAAGTTTAGATGAATTTCATATTATATTATGTTTTGTGTATTATATTATACATAATTGTAATTTAATACTCTATAAATGTAACCATAAACCCTGAATATTTGGATGTAAAAATTTTTTGCAAGCTTTGCTTTAAAAGTTAATATGTAAAGACCAAAATATTTTTTTAAGAAATATAATATTACTATATTCCCCTAAAATGTTAGAAAACCTTAAAGAAGGGAGACAAATTTGCCCCAATTTTTTAAAACATTGATTTTCTCATCAAGATATGTACCAAACAACTTGTTTTCTACATAGATCAAACTGTTTTATAAATGCTTGACAGAAGCTTGATTTTCTACCTGCTGGAAAAAGACATCACTGGTTCCAATTTTTAAAAATTCTGGAAAACACATTGACCCCTCTATTAATTGTCCAATCTCTTTATTAGCAAGGTAAAGGTAATTAAGGCAACCAGTCCTCTCTCTATTAGCTTAAATCTTTGGTCTTTTAGCTTAAGTCTTAAGGTCTTTGAGTCTTTAATCATCAAACATTTTGAGTCTAATAACTCTTTAATAATCTGTTTTCATCTTCCTTTTATTATTTCCACATGTTTGATGAAGGACTGTTGCTTGTTATATATAAAAAGAAGTGGACTCAGTGCAGAGCCTTGTAGCACTTCACTTAAATACTTCACATTAATTAGATATATTTTCACCCATAATTACCTTTTGTGTTCTTCCAATTATAAAAGGTTTTATTCAAGCTAGCAATTTCCCTTTAACGCCATAGGATGATATTTTTTAAATTAATTGTTTATGCAAGACTTTGTCAACAGCTTTATATATATACATACATATTGTGATTACTAATTTTTAAATTTCTGGGTTTTTATTGAAAAAGGGTATCATCATTTTTTAAAAATGACACAAAATAATCTGGCCAGACAAATATTACTTTTGGTTATTTGTTCCGGTGAAGCTAATTTTATAATTAATGCATGTTTTTTTTTGGACCACAAGTATCACCAAGAAATGCTTGTCTTTTAAATTGATTTATATATTATCATTTGAAATTCGATTGAATTACCGATAAGGTTTATTTTACCCGATTTCTTTTTTTTTATATTTTGGCATGTAACAATAAGTACTTTTATGATGTATTTGTATTGCTTGGATTAACAACTCTTTTATACAAATAATATTCTAAAAATAATAGTTGTGAGTAAATTTGTAAAAATAATAGTTGTGAGTAAATGCAGTAAATTTGTTGTTATTTCTGAAACTTTTTTTGCAATCTGGTAAGTTCAAATTAATTTGCCCTTTGATGGTTTAAAATACAATATAATATAATAAACATATGTGCTTTGGCATCCTTGCTTTCTCTGTATGTGGGATAGCAGAGCTCAAAAGAAGCATTTAATAGAGACATTATCTACCACAATCAGATCTTAAACCTAAGATCCCAACATTCTAAATGAGTCACTTGTTGATAAGAAAAAAATAATATTTCCACCTCTGCATATAAAACTATTGAAAAAATTTCTAAAAGCTTTGCCAACTGAGGGTCACTGTTTTAAGGATATCAGAATTTCCTGGACCTTCAATTGCAAAAACTAAGGGTGATGTGTTTGATGGTCCACAAATTTGCAGCTGTCCATCAAAGATGGACAGTTCAATGTCAGACCTTGAGAAGAATGCTTGGTTATTATTCAAATTTGTTGCCACAAACTTTCAAGGAAATACATGTGCAAGTAAATTACACAGAAATCATTTAGAAACTATTAAAGAACTTGGTTGTAACACGAGTATTAAACTACATTTTCTGCATTGCCATCTTGCCACCTATCCAGAAAATCTTGGTGCTGTTAGTAAGAGGCAAAGTAAAAGATTTCACCAAGATTTTTAAGTTATAGAAGAACGCTATCAGGGTAGATGGAATGTACATAATAATAAGTATGTTTACAATAATTACAATGAAAAAATAATAATAATAACTAATATTAATATAATAATAAGTTAATGATTTATTAGGATGGTATCACTCATACAGAAATCTGATCAAAGGAGTGACACCAAAACAGTCCAAACTAAAACAAGAAATAAAGTTCATTTAAAAATAAAAACTTTTTTCTATTTAATAAAATGTTAGTCTTACTTGTAGTAAATATTTTTAATTTAAACCTATCTAAGTATCAAATCTAAGTATCAAAATGTCGTATCTATTTAAGTATCGAAGTGTCAAACCCATCTAAGTATCGAAGTGTTAAATCTTATTTAATATTTTTATTAATATTTACTTTAATTATAATAAGATTTACAATAAAGTTATAATAAAATTGCATGAAAATATGTGTAATGGATTTACCAAATTGTTTCATATTCATTTTAGACTCTACCTAAGATTTTTAACCAGTCTTCATACGTGTTCTCAAATCAAAAACAATTTTTAAATTTTTAGACTCTACCTAAGATTTTTAACCAGTCTTCATACGTGTTCTCAAATCAAAACCAATTTTTAAATTTTTAGACTCTACCTAAGATTTTTAACCAGTCTTCATACGTGTTCTCAAATCAAAAACAATTTTTAAATTTTTAGACTCTACCTAAGATTTTTAACCAGTCTTCATACGTGTTCTCAAATCAAAAACAATTTTAAATTTTTATCCAGATATTTATTAAACAGCTATAAAAAAGTTCAAAACAGTTTAAATAATAATACTAACAACAAACTCATTATTTAAAACTTTTGTTTATTTCCTTAGGTTGAAAGCAGTGGCGGATACAAAGGAGGGGAGGTGTGGGGGTGTAAGGGGGTAAATACCCCCCTAAGAAATGTAAAACTTCAAAATATTATTGAAAAATTTGTAAAAGAAATAACAAAATACAATAAAATTGTTCTGTAGCTAACAACTTACTTTTTTTTAAACTAAAACAAAAACTAAAACTAAAGCAAAACTAAATTTGTTTCATAGCATTACAAAAAAAATCTATTGTTGCATTTTTAACATTTTCACTATTTCGAAAAAAAAGAATGAATGTTTCGAAACATTATAATGTTATCATCATTAATTCAATCTATTATATAATTAGATAACAATAAAAAACAGTAAAATTACTTCGTTCTACTTTGAAAAATTTTTTAAGCTGTTTTTAAAAACTTACGAAAAAATAAATATAGATTTGGTTTGAATAGTAATTTTTTTTTTATTAATTTAATTTTAATTTGTAATATAATTAATATACGCAATGCCATTTTTGGTAGTTAAAATTTCAATAAAAAAGTATTTATTTTTCAACAATTGAATTTGCAACACTTCTATCTTATATACACTTCAAGTTCTATTTAAGATACTAAGAATTTTTTTTTAAACAGTAACTGAATGAATTTCTTATGAATTAGTTTCTTATTTAGAAAACAAAAGTGTTTTTTTTACTATTTTAAATAAATAAATGACAAATGATTTTTACTACTTTTAATGAAATTTATTTTTATTACAATGACTAAGATGGTAAAAAGGACAAGCTCTTTAGATGTCTATTTTGTATACAAGCATACAAGCAATGTGATGGTAATGTCTTTCTTTCAATTAAATGTATTTTGCAACTGCTTTGCACCCTTCCTGTTAGCTTTGCTTGGGAGAACAGAGTTTCATGGTTTTAAAAAAACTTAAAACTTGGTTAAGATCCAAGATAGGACAAGAGCAATTAAATAGCTTAGCTATGATGCATATCCACAGAGATTGCATCATAAATGTCGAAAAGCAGAAAAAAATATAACTTTTTTTGTTGGTCAAATTACCCCCCTTAGGACAATAACCTAGATCTGCCACTGGTTGAAAGTGTTTTTTTCTAACCTGTTTTGTTGAAAACATATAGAAAACAATTGATGTTCCACAAAAACTTATGTGATCGAAACAACAATAGTTTAAAATTCATATCAAATACTTAGCAAATATTGATAAAATTTGATACGAATTTTAAAATATTGATGTTTCAGAGTGAGTATT